TTTGTTTCCCCATGTTTTTCACATCAGCTGGGAGATGGGTACGCATGGAGTTACAGATTAACAGCGATGGTGAGGGGCGGAAAAAAAACACCTGGTCTCCTTACATTCAGCCACTCTTTCATCATCTCCTCAATGAGGTGGTCTCAAAAGTCGCAGTTACAACACACATAGGGCGCACCGCACCATAGGGCGCACCGCACATTTTGAGGTGAAAAAAAGACGTTTAAGTGTGCCTTATAGTCGTGAAAATACGGTACTATTATTGATTCTGCCAAATAAATGCTTGTTAGGTCAATTTTTGTATTATGATTCACTCTGAGGAGTGTCGGTGCATGCATGGTTGTCACTGTGTACATTTTTTTGTTCCCTGATAGTGGGATGGAGAAGTGTACAGAGTGTTCACAACTTTTCACATTGACCTCTGGAGATGGGCACGAGCCCCATCTACATTCCTGCAAAGACAAGCTGGTGTAGATGATAAACAGATTTAAACAGAGAGTGGAGATGGGTCTGCAATAATAGTGAATTGCACATAACTTAAATAATATAAATGATCTGCTTTGATAGGTACTTGCATTTTGATAACTAAGGTAAAATATTTAAATTGCTAACATTAAAGACCAACTGTAATGTTTTGGAAAGATTTCTTCTGAAGCCCTGTTTAAACATTTTTAGATCAGGCACTAAAATAGAGAGAACTTGATTTCTGGAAAATCACATGATTTGCAGGAAATTTGGGTCAGTGGCAATGACCAATGAGAAGACAGTTACACATTGTGAAACCTGAGAAAACACTTTCCCCACTGTGAGCCAAACAGTGAAACAAACAATTTTAAAGCCAAGTTAAAAAAAATAATCCCATCTCTTAGTCTGTTGCAACATGTGTTGAAATCTGATTTATACTTTTCTGAATATGATAATGAGTATATACACAAAAACTCCTCTAAATTCTCTGGTAAAAAAATAAGAATTCTGCATGGTTTTCATCTTCTCTTCTCAATCATATATCCTTCTATAAAACTTTTTTAAAATAATTTTATTGCAATTGGGCATGTTAATAAGAACAGACAGCTCACTGAGGATTACATTTCTCAAAAAAAAAAATTACTAAGTTGTCTTAGCAGTGAAAATCCTGCTGGGAACAATGTCAGATGCAGCGATTGAGAAATAAAGGGGTGGGAGCCTTATAAAACAGCAATTATTTTAAAGTCTGTGCCAGAGCAGGCTGGGGCAGCAGACAAACAAAGGGAGAGTAGCAGAGACAGCAAAATGAAGTGCTGTCTGGTTTTTGTGCTTCTTCTCATCTCAGCTCTGAAGGAGACATTGGGCGAAAGGTAAATAAACAGTTTATTATTTTTATTCAATGTCTAACAACTGTTTGCAATAAACATGGGCATGATGAGTTTGGCTAAATCTTCCAAATACTTTTTTCTATAAAATTATTGTATATAAACTAACCATTTTAAGTTAAGTTATAAAAATATGGTACAACAATTTATATGCATGCATTTAATTTAGGAAATGTAAAGCATGCCACTAAAGGATAGAATACAATCTGAACATTGTTAATTTGTGTGCAGAGTCTTCATCACAGCCCCAAATGTCTTTCATCTTGGTGTCAAAGAGAAGGTGCTTGTCCAGGTGGGAGGTCAATACCTCAACAAACATTTCGATGTATACCTGGAAAATTTAAGGGGGAATGTTATCTCTGAAAGAAAATCTGTAATCTGTAGCGCAGAAAATATCCCAGCCACAGTTGAACTATTGGTATGAACAATTTCTTTCTTACGAAATGTAAATTACCATAAATTACAAATATAAATTTTACTTACTGCATTTGCTTCTCTGCATGTTCACAGATAGAGAGAGACAAATGGTCAGAAATCAAAGGAAGAATTCCTTACCTCAATCTTGTGGCGGAAATCCCTAGTAAAAGTCAAAGGACAATAACAAGGGTGCTGGTTTCAAATCACAGGGGATATATCTTCATACAGACTGATCAGCCAATGTATAACCCAACGCAGAAAGGTAAAAGTAAAATGTCAGCCACCTTTAGTAAAAATGAACAATGCAGAGTTAATATTTTTTTATGATCTTTAATTGTAGTGAAATACAGGATCTTCGCTCTTAATCACATGTTTAGGCCACATGAGGAAACTGTCTACATATCTGTGTTTGTGAGTATATTTTTGTTTCACTATAAAAAGCTGTAAAGCTCAGAATAGATTTCGCAAAAGATTTAATGTTCAATATTAATGTCTGGCTTCAAACAGAATGCTGCTGGAAACAGATTGGTGAAGAATCGAAAGAGGGTAACTGAAGGAATTTTACAGGACCATTTTGATATACCACATTTATCTGAGTATGTTAATAGAAATGTGTATATACCATGTCTAACATCAAAACATAACTAATAGCAGTTATTAGAAGGTGTTTTCTTGATATAGAATGGGCACTTTTAAGATCACAGCACACTATGAGGGCGATGAAGCAAATGCTGCTGTACGAGAGTTCAAAGTCCAAAGGTTTGGTAAGACAAATCTGATTTTAGATATTGATTTTTTATTTTTTTTTTTGCCTGAAACCCCGTGCATAATTTTTTATCTTCTGAAAGATATCCAGACAAACAATCCTTGTTTTGCTTCCTGTTATAGTTTTACCGAGTTTTGAAGTGAGAATTGAAACGGAGCAGCATTACATATTATTGGCTGATCAACAGCTTGACTTCGCCATTTCAGCAATGTAAGTGTGAATCATCTTTTAACTTGATTGATTTCATGGTTAACATTTGTAGTCAAAGATGTTGTTTACCAATATTTCCGTAACAACGTATCACACCTAAAATCACATTACAGGCCACTGACAAAGTATATTCGAAATTCCTCCAAGGTAACTTAAGATTAATTTGTACAGGCATATTTACGGTTCCAACTGCTTTCATCTTTCAAAAAATAATAAAATTATAAAAATTTGCCCCAAATAAAAAAGTAAGAATTTTATACGAAAATTGCCTTTCAAAATAAATTTTATAGTTAAAATATACAAATGGCTATTTTTTACTAGCTTTCAAGGAAGGACACCCAATAATTAAGTACCAACTTTTTATATTACTGTTAATATTGAACCATTATTACCCTCTCAAATTCAAGCCACAGCAGGGGGTGAGTGCAAGATAACCATTTTACTTTCAGGTAAAAGCATAACATAAATAAAATTAAAAAGAGTTCTTTAAACCTAAATCTACTAGAGATATGAACAAATTTGTTCTTAACTGTATATGGCATGTTTGGCACTTGAATGACATTTCTTTGGCAGTGATGTTGCATGTGGTATACATCCAGACATTTTCCTGCTGCTTTTTTAGGTATTCATACGGTGAAGAAGTCAAAGGCGGTTACCACTGCCAGTTTGGTGTTAAGAAGAATGGTGCACTGCAGATTATTAGAGGCTTGAAGCTGACTGGTTCGGTAAGAAACTACATTCTGGTTGTTGTTGTTAAGCTCTTTCAAGATGGTGAAATATTAAAATAAGAAATGCATTTTTTGCCCAGGTTCGAAATGGAAGAGCAACAGCCACTCTTCAGTTAAAAGACATAGATTGGAAACAGCTGAACACATCCCTGACTGAATTACAGAAAAGTGGATCTCAACTTTACATAGGAGTGTTTGTCACCAACATTCAAAGTAAAAGCATTCTCAATCTACTTTTAATACTCCTTCTACCTGGTAAAAAGTCTTATAAATCCAAATTTAAATGGTAAAGAATTTGTTTGAATGTAAGGATTTGCTAAACATATGTTAAACTTTATTTTTTTTCCTGGGTATTAAGATATTATTTTAGCTTTCTACCCAAAATGGGAAAAACACTCTTTATTATTGTGTGGGATCTTAAACATACTTTCTTATCCATTACTACAACTAATCATTCAAAATATTAGAGCCATTTATGCAGTATCATTTGTGTAAATGCTACAAAACTAACATTTCCTGTTAGTTGAATTATCACAGTTTGTGGATTCACATGGAGAAGGTTTCCAAACCTTCCAACTTCTGACCCATAAAATGGTATCAGAGTCAGATCATGACCCAAGCTTTTGACTGAGCATACAAACATTTCTACAAATAAAAATTCTCCACAGGTGTAATGTTATTTCAAATAGCATCAACAACCAAAGTAGTTGGTTTTGTCCACTTTTAGTGATGCTTTTTAAGCAATTTGAGTGAATGTTTATGCTTAGTTTAGTTTCTGTGGTGCATCTCAAGACAATACTTTTTGATTAGGGACCAACTTTGGGAATCAATACAGTGCTTAACAACAGTGGTGTCCAAAGTCTGGTCTCAGGGGCTGCTGCTTTTAGATTAGGTTTTAGTTGTTTAAGTTGGGTTGGGATTCAATATATTTCATCATACCCCTATGATGAACACAATATTTGGATTCAGCGTTCCCTCGCCCGGACGCGGGTCACCGGGGCCCCACTCTGGAGCCAGGCCTGGAGGGGGGGCATGATGGCGAGCGCCTGGTGGCCGGGCTTTTACCCATGGGGCCTGGCTGGGCTCAGCCCAAAGAAGAAACATGGGTCCCCCCTTACATGGGCCCACCACCCATGAGAGGGGCCATAGGGGTCGGATGCAATGTGTGTTGGGTGGCGGCCGGGGGAGGGGACCATGGCAATCCGATCCTCGGCTGCAGAAGCTGGCTCTTGGGACGTGGAATGTCACCTCGCTGGTGAGGAAGGAGTCGGAGCTCGTGTGTGAGGCTGAGAGGTTCCGGCTAGAAATAGTCGGTCTCACCTCAAGGCACGGTTCTGGAACCAGTCTCCTTGAGAGGGGCTTAATATACTTCCACTCTGGAGTTGCCCACGGTGAGAGGCGCCGGGCAGGAGTGGGCATACTTGTTGCCCCCCATCTCGGCGCCTGTACATTGGGGTTTACCCTGTGAACGAGAGGGTAGCCTCCCTCCGCCTATGGGTGGGGGGACGGGTTCTGACTGTTGTCTGTGCTTACAGGCCAAACAACAGTTCAGATTACCCACCCTTCTTGGAATCCTTAGAGGGGGTACTAGAGGGTGCCCCTCCTGGGGACTCCCTTGTTCTGCTGGGAGACTTCAACGCTCACATGGGCAATGACAGTGAGACCTGGAGGGGCGTGGTTGGGAGGAATGGCCGCCCCGATCTGAACTCGAGTGGTGTTCTGTTGTTGGACTTCTGTGCTTGTCATGGATTGTCCATAACGAACACCATGTTCAGGCATAAGGGTGTCCATATGTGCACTTGGCACCAGGACACCCTAGGCCGCAGTTCGATGATCGACTTTTTTAACGTTTCATCAGACTTGCAGCCATATGTCTTGGACACTCGGTTGAAGAGAGGTGCGGAGCTTTCCACTGACCACTACCTGGTGGTGAGTTGGCTCCGGTGGTGGGGGAGGATGCCAGTCAGACCTGGCAGGCCCAAACTTGTTGTGAGGGTCTGCTGGGAACATCTGGCGGAGTCCCCTGTTAGGCGGGGCTTTAACTCCCATCTCTGGTAGAACTTCGAACACATCCCGGGGGAGGTGGGGGACATTGAGTCCTAGTGGACCATGTTCCATTCCTCCATTGTCGAGGCGGCTTATCTGAGCTGCGGTCGCAATGTTGTCGGTGCCTGTAGTGGCGGCAACCCTCGAACC